TAATAATAATAATAATAATAATAATAATAATAATAATAATAATAATAATAATAATAATAATAAATAAATAAATAAATAAGAAGAAGAAATTATGCAAAAATGATGATCTCTGGCCGAATCTAAATCTTTACAAGGATTAATAATTAGTTAAGGAACAAAAACAAAAACCTAATCAATGTAAAGGTGTTGCATTATAAACTAATGGGAAGCTGTCTGGTTGTGTGTCTGCAGTTCAAAGAGGGCCTGCTCCTTCATTTCAAATGAAAGTAAATCCACTCCACATCCACAAACACTCCAGCATGATGAGTCATAGCTTCCAATATGGGCTACATCAATCATCTGGGGCTAAATAATCCCTCAACCAGTAAGAGTCCAGCTAAGGTTTCATGCTTTACCTGTGATTTGTCCTTGTCTGACCACAACCCTGCAGTTTTGCTTGTTTGAATTGAAATGTTTGCTTTAAGTTGTATAATTATGCTTTAACATGCTTTTTAATAACATCCTGTCATTTTAAACTATGGCTGAGAGGAAAGTTAAATGCGCCTAGTCATGCGCTATGCTGATGGTAAAAATCACCAGAAAATGTATAAAACCAGAAGTTCATCCTGATGATCTTTAATTTGTCCCTTTTGAGCCTAAAAATAAACCAATGCGGTCAGTAGACATATAGTCGTGCGCTGTCGCCATCCGCTGGCAGCTTTCACGCATCCACACCAGTGTTCATATTCTGCTCCAAGCTTTAATTCTTATACCTTTTTTTTGTCTTTTATATTTTTTCACACTTGATATTGAACTTCTTTCTTTTTTACACCTCCGTAAGGAGTCGCCTCCTCACCTCAATCCATTATTTCCTTGTTATTCATTGCACACTTGGTCTTTTTTACAGAAAGATATTTTTCGCTCACTAACTAATAAAGTTAAAACAAAGTTTAAAATAGAAAAATAATATAATAAGCCTATAGGAAACCTTTGTATAGAATTAGAGTAGGCATCTTGGATGTTTTTACAGCCACCTAAAGAATGAATCAGGACATGTTGTTGATGCAAACAAAGCTACAATCAATGTTGAACTTTTATGGCGTTCCCAACACTATAGCTGTGTCCGAACGTCCGCCCTAACCCCTAGACCCCTTAATTAGTTTAAAGAGCAGGAACTACATAGTGGACTTTATAGCAAACTCAGTTAACTGACCGTTCAGACAGATGATTTCTACTTTTCGCTCCACGTTGCAGGGGCGGCTGGTGTTTACTCCAGCGGGGAGCTATGAAATAAAAATAGTTGTATACCAAATACTAAGTTATCACACCAGTATATTCGTATGAATTCCAACAATAAAAAACATTATAGAAACACTTTATAAAAACAAAACAATTTTATGTACAGGTTTACTTTTTGTTTTTGGATATTTTTTGTCCAATATTGTGTCACAAACCTAAAAAGAAAAACATTTTTTTACTAGTTTAATAATGGAGAAGCGATTGGTCAGCTTTATATATTTTTAATATATTAAAACTATTTATTATTTCTAAGAACATGTTTATTTAAGAGCAACTATGCAAATTAACAAACACCTAGAAAAAGTACACTATATTATATTATTTTCCGTGTAAATCCCAGATTGTTTATTCTTCTTTGCCTTTTCTAAAAAGTGCTTTAAATTGGTCCTATCTGTCTTTATCCATGATGGCTCAGATCCTGACGTTTTAAAGTTAAATTATAAAAAAAACATATACATAGGGTCATTGCGACACATGGTGCCTGCGCCATCTTTGTTATTTGTCGCTGCTGGATGATCACTACTTTAAAGGTGCATTGTGGGAAAGTTTTTGTCCACTA